AACTTTACCTCGACTTGAGACCAACTTGAGTTGCAACCAGAGTCACGGAACAGATTAAGTTAGTAACTAGAGGTACCACTGTATGTGTAAAATACAGCGCAATTGACTACCCAGTTTTATATTTATAGGTAGTCCCCAGGTAAGTCCCCGGTTTATGGGCAACCCATAGTTGAGAACGGAGCCTATTGTAGCAAAATTTGAGTTAAATACACAATTTGTGTTAAATACACAATGGTACAAGTTAATTACACAATACAATAATACTGTCCCAGCTTACATACAAATTCAACTTAAGGACAGACCTTGGTGTATTGCATTTTATTGTGGTTTTTACCTGCTGTCAGATACTTTATTTTCTTTTTGTTTTTGAGCTTGTCTATGACTGTAATAAAGTATCTCTCTATATATACATGCTTAAGAAGCTTTTTGGTAGTCAGGTTTAGCTTAGTGTGTTTACCTCTCTTTTGAAAAAGTGAAGTGAAAAACACAATTGAGGCTTGAGGTTAGACATTCAACCAGTCAAAAAGAATATGGTCAAATATTGGCCAAGCCATGCCAAATTTTTAAAGAATGTAAGCGAAGAATAATGGCAATAATGTTTTATTTATGCTATTTTTAAGACTGCTATTATCTTTGTTCTGGGATAAGCATTTTCTTTTTATTTCTGGTCAAAAAGATTTGACATAGTGAAACCTTGGTCCAACAGAAGAAAAGAAAAGTGTCCATCTTGTCTCTGCCATGTAGTCAGTCATTTTAAGAACTGAAGGAAAGGTAGAAGATAGAAATTGGCAGAGATTCAGTCAAAACTAGTCCAAAAGATTTTGCTGCCCTGAGTGGAACAGTAAAAGTCTTTCTGCAGTACCACCAACTCATTCAAAGGCTGAAAATCTTACAGGTACTCTCATTCTACCTGGTAGAAAGGACATGGTAATACTAAATAACTAAGAATGTGCTTTCCTTTTGTGGTATTTAAAATATGTTGCTGGACTTGAGATGAGTGGTAAAAGAATAAAATAGTCCAGTGACTGTCAACCAGAAGATGGAATCCATCACTGCCACAGCACAATGTACATAGTCATAGTCTGAACTGGAACTTTCTGTATTGATCTCAGAGTAGCACTTCTCAAGGAATTCTGAAATAACCAGTTGTGTTATCTTTGAGCATCTGTTCATTGTTTGATAATGTTCATTAAATAACCATAATAACAAATTAACCTAGAACAGTATCCAGTAATCAAGAATAAACAACCATAGGAAGCTTCTGATCAAAAATCCATCCAAAATAAATATATATTTTTTACATTCTTGTGAACAGAAAGCAAAGAGGAACCTCTTCCTCTCCTCTAGTTTATTAACAAGGCTACACTAAAATCTTAAGACATAAGGAATAAAACAGCTGTAGAAGGTAGCACGTGTGATAGAACTAACATAATAATATTTTAATGTTTTCCTTACTGTTCTCAAGACAAAAGCTGTTACATGTGTTATGATTCTAAGAAGAAGCTGTAAGATGCATTAATTTTAGACATTGCGCTTTTTTATCTGGTATTTTACAGCTGCTATTTTTTTTTCCTCTCTCTTTTTCCTTTTTCAGTGAAAGAGGCTGGAAGAGATTTCACCTATTTAATAGTGGTGGTCATTGGAATCGGTGTGACAGGTGATTGAAACAGGAAAAAAATATTTCTAGCTTACAAGTGCTTTACTATTGGCATTTTTAGAAGATTTTTGATTCATTGGCATCTGGTTTTCTTCTCCTTCAGGTGGGTTATTCTATGTGATTTTTAGGGAGTTATTCTCTTCTTCCAGTCCCAGTAAAATCTATGGAGATGCCTTGGAGAAATGCAGAGCTCACCCTGAGGTTTGTTTCCAAATTTCAATGAAAAAGATGTTCATTAAAGAAAGAACTGTTCTTAATATTGAAAAAATCATTTTCTTCGATAGATCCTCAGAATCAGTGCAATTTGGTTTTGCTCATTATAAAGTGAAATATAGTTTTCTTGAAAAGAGAGCTGATTCTGAGCATCTGAAAGTATAATTGGCCAATCCTTCTTCAGTTATACATGCTGCCAAACCAGGAACATCTTATCATAGCATTATCACAGTTATGTATAATCTATCTAAAATAAGCCACAGGAGGTGGAGAGAGAGTATCTGTACCAACTGCTCCACTGAGTTCTTTTTTTCATGAGTTGATGTTTTCAGTATTCTTCATAAATTCTAGCATGGCTATATATCAGTCAGCATCAAACACAAGGAAACCCAAATTTTATATCAAAAAAATTACAAAGGGAAGACCACAGTATTATTTAATGTAGTGACAGATAATGTCAGACCAGCTGATCCACCACATGAAGCTTTTCCCCATGCCCAAAAGAACCATGCCTCCTCCCCATTTTGCTAAAAATTTGAGATCAGTGTAGAAAGAGGATGTAAATTATGTCTGACAGGGGAGATTATATAGCATTCATAGTTATACTGATAGAACTACTCACTAGTGCTCAATAGAAGACGGACCACTAAGCATACTGTCTTGTTGTAACTAATTAGGTAGTAGGTGTTTTTGGCGAACCCATAAAAGGCTATGGTGAAGCTACACGCCGTGGGAGAAGACAGCTAGTCAGGTACCTGTCAATGCAACCCTGATATTTTTGTAAAGTGTTTTCTTCTATGGTTGTTACTGTCTTCGAACCTTTTACATTATTTAGCTTACTTGATCCTTCTTGTATTTCATTTAAAAAAAAGTAACATAGTCTAACCTAAATTTAAAAGTCCAGCTTTACTCCTAACAAATGGAGAAGTAATTAATAACAATCAAAGCTTTTGGTTGATTCTTAGCATTAGAATTAGTATTAATTCTATTAATTAGAATTAATTAGTATTAATTATTGTCCTCATCAGTTCATGCTGGATATACCTCTTATATCATTATTATATTGGAGGGGGATTCAGTCCTTACAGAATTGTAAGGGAAGTAGCAAATAGAATTCATTACAGTTTTTAAAAAATCAGTATAATGAAGTTGCTTACAAAAGTGCAAATGGATTTCTCATAAATACAGTCCACAGTATCCAAGATACATCTTTCAGATTCTAAATTCACAACCAAATCAGAGCACATTAGTTTGTCTTTACCAAGGAAATACCATATGAAGCAAGCTATTGTGTGAATTATGGTTTGGCAAGCTGGGTATCAGAGATAAAATCAAAATTGTACAAATATCTTAGAGAAAGGACAGTGTGAAAGAACATGGGCCACCAATTCCACTGCTTAAGCTCACACACGCTAATACATATAGCAAAGGGGTATTATGAAATGTGTCCATTTATAGAGCAGAAGAAAGAACATTAATCAGGCCAACCTAAACACCCAACAGTATTTCAGCATGAAATATTGAGTAGTTTAGAGGTAGGAATAAGTCCTTTCTTAGGAAATCCTTCATAGGAACAACTGGGAATCAGTTAAATAAATAATTGATAAATAAATAAATCAAAGTCTTTCTGTAGAACCATGTCTTATATTTATTTAGTGAATCTTTTAGCATTCCTGTACCTGAACAATGAGAGATTCAGAGGAAAAGCTGCAAAAAGCTGCTTCTTCAGTATCATTTTCCATGCAGATTTAAATGTATTAGCCAGGATTAACTGAGCCAAACCTAACAAGAAAAGACAATTTCTTCATTAGTTAAAAGCTGATGAAAAGAAACCATATCCACATGGGTACTGAAAAAGTCCTCACATCTTGGTGTATTGCCATATTAAAGACACATCCTGACCAGTAGCAGGCATTTAGACCTTTATACTGCATCCTGCCACAAGGTGGCATTTCAGAGAAATAGACTAGAAGACAACAGGCACAATGAATTCATGAATTTCCACTGGCTAAAACAAATGAAATAGCTTGTCTTACTTTTCTTGGTAACTTCCTATTACTATTAGAATCTTGCAGGAAACCATTTCAGAACTGTGAAAAGCCAAGCTTTGTTTCTTTTTCCCAGCGTAGAAATCATGTTTTGTTTTTCTTTTCTTTCTCCTTAAGCATATTTTTTTCAAGAATCCAATTTTGTTTTAAAGAAGTAATTTAGAATATAAATCATATTCATAGGATGTATATAATGACTAGGCAAACAATTTTCTAAGTATCTTAAACCTTAAACTTGTGTCATACTTGAAAGGCAGCTCCATGTTTATGACAACAGTGGAATGAAGCATTTTTTTATGCCAGTGTTTCTCAACCTTGGCAACTTTAACATGTGTGGACTTCAAATCTCAGAATTCCCCAACAAGCATGGTGGCTGGGAAATTCTGGGAGTTGAAGTCCACACATCTTAAAGTTGTCAAGGTTGAGAAACACTGGGTTATGCTATAGCTGAAGGGCAGTGAGAGTGTCATTTTCAGTGTGAAGGCATGGAAGATTGCCTGGCAGGACCATTTGTCAGTTTATTTATATCCAAGTCAGAAAGATACCATATACCAATAGCAAGCACGTTTTGTAATCTGTTAACTGTAAAAATGCAGCAATGTGTATGGATCCTCTGTGCCACAGTGATAGCTGCTATTAGATAGAAGCTAGCATTTACTGTAGAAGGAGCTCCATAATACCTTTGGATACTTGAGCTTCTGGCTTTAGTCCAATGTTCACTTGATTGGATTAACTTCCCCTAAATACATTTGATGAAATTTGCTTCTGAATAAACTTGTTGGAATCAGACATCAATGATCTTTTATCCAAATATTTTATCTGATTGTGTGGATGGATTGGGTAATCAAAACCATGACCCTGAGTAGATTAGGTACTGTATAAGCAGATTTAATTACTCTCTGGAAGTAAGATAATGTTTATGGTTGCACAGAGATCCAAAGTTCATATAATAAATGGGTATACTGTATGTAATAAAATAAAATCTAGGAAACTGGCACTATTCAACAAATAGTTCAAAATTTTCCTATCCCTACTTCTTCACAGTACCTCAGAACACACTGATACCTCACTGCTGTAGTATTGCTCACTCCTTATCTTTGAAGGATTTTGTTCACTGTGTTTCCCATCTTCTCCGTTAATTGTTTACCACTGGCTGCATCTTACATTTAATTTTGAAGTATCAGTTGCTTTACCCAAAAATTGCACATGTACAGTTTAAAGAACTGTCTGTTTTCTTAGCTTGCAAAAATATTTCTTTTATGTTTTTCGTCAGCCATATTGAGTATGTAAAAGATGGATTGAAATACATGCGTCTAAAATTCTACATTGAGGGATCTGAAAAAGGAAAACAAGGAACTGTTCATCTTGAAGTCAAAAAGGTACAAAAACTTCATTAAAATATATAGACTATCATTTAATGCAGAGGTGGAAAACCTCCAGCTTGGCATTCCCACACTCTTTCTCAGAGTTGTGTACCATGCAGGCTGGGACATGACAGCATCATTTTGTGCATTAGAGCAAGTTTGCCTGTGGAGAAGAAGCCAGGGAATGTGAGAATTGCTCCTTTTAAAAAAAAAGGGACTGTGAGTGACCAGGATTTTAGAAAGGGACTTTTAGTCCCTGCAGTCCCACATCTCAGATGACCTCACATGTAAGGATTCAGCCTTTGAGTCGAATTTAGTTCCACATCTCTGATTTAATACTTAAATTACCCACCTCTTCCCTTCTCTTTTTCTTTTTTAACCCCTCTTTTTTTAACAGAGTCCTGAAAGTGGAAAATATGAATATCGTTATATATTTGTGGATATTGATGGCTATCCTAGAAGAACAATAATTGTTGAAGACAAAAGATAGTGGATAGTGGATTGAAAGTTTTTCATTGCCGGGATATTTGCTGATAATATGCAGTGGATAACAATAGAATAAACATTGAGGTAGCAAGCCATACAGTATCTTTACAAATTGTCCATGTAATTCAGTGAAACCAGTGGACCTATATATAATGCTGTTACATAAATACTGGAAATAGAGAATTATGGGAATAATAGAAAATGCAACTAATTTTGATACTTTTATGTGGAATTGGCAGGAAGTTCTACTGTAGCAAATGTGTGATTCATCAAAGATTGTTAATGAGTGAATCAGTTTTTATATACATGTATCCACAAGCAAACATGCATCCATAACCTTCTAAATTTTTGGAATGAATATTTCTGTTTAAACTTGGATTTCATACCAATATTATAATAAAAAAGCCTAAAATATATAAAGTAGCGTTGTTACTTTTTTTTAACAGAGTTGGTGTGCATATGAAGATATGTATTTTCCCTGTCAAACATAAATTTAGAATATCAAGTAGCAAAATATATTAGAATATGTAGCTCCACTGAATAACTTCTCATTTGGTTTTGTTTCTTTTCTTGATGAGAGGAGTGGGGTTGAAATTAGCATATTGATTATTGTTTTTGCATATAGATCTCATATAGACTATTGAAATGCAGTCTATATGGGGCTACCCTTAAAGAGTATCTGGAAGCTACAGCTGGTGCAAAATGCAGCCGCATGGGCAATTTTGGGTGCCCCAAGGATGGCACATGTAACATCTTTGCTGCAGGAAAGCGCCAGTTTGCTTCCAGGTCCAATTCAAGGTATTGGTTATCACCTCTAAAGCCCTACATGGCACGGGACCAGGCTACCTGAGGGACCGTCTCATCCCCATTATGTCGACCCATCCCATCTGGTCAGGCAGAGAAGGTATGTTATGGACCCTGTCTATGAAAGAATGTTGTTTAGCAGGGCCCAGAAGGAGAGCCTTCTCTGCCATTGCCCCCACTCTATGGAACACTCTTCCCCCAGAGGTGAGGTGGGCCACCACTCTCCCAGCCTTCCAGAAAGGTGTGAAGACCTGGCTCTGCCAACTTGAGTTGGGCGAGACGGGTTCTAACCAACCCTAGGGGGGTGGGCTGGGACCTTGAACACACTCCCCAAGTCTAATAATTTTTAGTTAACATCAGTTCCTTGGAAGCTATTTATTTTTATATAGGAATCTTCTTGTATTTTAATGTATTTTAATTAATATTTATCCTTTTTACTGTAAACCACCCATAGTCGCTCTACAGTGAGATGGTTGGTGACAAATTTGAAATATAAATAAATAAATATACCAGAAAAGCAGTCAATTGTGAAACAGTGCCTTTTCAAATCATACTCATGGCCATAATCCACATTTGCTGAATCTTCAGCATCAGGAACATGAATGATCTTATGAAATAAACTATCATACAACAGGTTTATATCTACCTAAACAACAGTATTTACCCTATTTAACATCACAATGTTGACTATGTAACAATAATGACAGCATAAAACTAGCTGAGGGTGAGACAGTATCTCTTGGATCAGTCATGTTGGCAGTCCCAATCAGGTGGCACTAAGAGAATAGCATCCTATTGTGACATTTTAGTTAAGCCAGGTTACCTACTAATGTTACTGAGAGCCGACCAATTCAGTTGCTGAAGCATTGCCATTGCTCTGAATACACAAACGTTCCCTCTTTTTCAGATTTTTGTCCCAATTTCCCCTTTTTTACACTGCTGAAAATTTTAGCAAAAGTCATTCCAACCTTCTGTTCAGTTGTAACAAAGTCTCTTATATTCTATGTTTTTCTAAGAGCAGAGGAATACTTAGCAGTAATCAAACAATACTGTAGTTGTTTGGCTTGACTGAAGATGGTGCCATCTGGTGGTTTTACGGGAAATTGCACCAGTTAATTCCTTTCTAATTCATTCTTGTCCATTGTTTATTTACAGGTAGGTCTTGATTAATGCAGTTAATGAATCCCACAAATGGTCACTTTATTTGAATTTGCATTATTTGAAGTGAACTTTCTATGGAAAATATGGTAATAGGTTTCAGCTTGATGGAAATAGGCAATGAAAATTTTTAAACATAAATTTTTATAAGTATATTCATGAAATATTACAGTAAAGGATAAAAATATACTTATAATTTAAAGCTGTGGTTAACAAAGTCACAGAGTAGTTGTAGAAAGTAAAATAAAAACAAAAAAGTTCTAAATATTATTCCTAAAGGTAAGCTTACACTGATGAAAACATCTTTATTGTCTCAAAATATTTTAGCAGCGTAGACTGAACTCTGTGCAGTTTTTTTTAATCTTCATACATATGCTGAGAGACGCAGAGTGCTTTATCTACATCTTGGTGAATTTGCATGCTTTGATTGAGGTTAGGGTCAGCATCCATGGTTTTTTGTTTCATGACTTCTACAGCTCGAAAGATTACTTAAGATCCCACGAGAGTGAGCTTCTTCAGTTGCACATTACTGTTTTCCTCTGATGGAATCCTCCTTTTCTCCGTTTTGCACACACAAAGATTAGCAGTGTCTAAAACCCCAAGCACAACTGCACATGCACTAGCCTCACATTAACTGAATTTTGGATCACATTAAACACGGCCTGGTTATCAATTTACAGTTCACATTAAATTGGGTATCTCATACTTGAACTCGTGCTAATTGTGACCTACCTGTATATGGTACTACAGTACTGCTTGAATTCTAAACTTCCATAGCTACTTAATAACTTTATAATATTCAAATACACATTCTGTGTAGTCATCATCTCCTTGTGTAAAGTTCTTCTTTCTGGATATTCTGTTAAAAGGGAGGATATTCTTTGCTACTTCCTCCTGCCTATAGTTCCAAGTGCTGTATTTTCCAAGTATCCCTCTAGGGCAGTGTTTTGCAATCTTAGCAACTTTAGGATATGTGGACTTCAACTCCCAGAATTCCCCAGCTAGCATGGGGGAGATCAACCATGAACATCACATCCCTTCCCCTATGGAAATTCTCCATTTATAGCTATCCTGGGTTTTACAGCAGTTCCTCTGTTGCTGAAATACGTTTTTTGTTTGCTCTGTTCAGAGAAATAATCAGGTAAGGAGGTTAAAATAGTGGTATTCCACATCACTTCTATTACATAAAAAATTAGTTGGCCAACAAAACTCATAAACTTTTTCTCCACTGTTTTAACTCAGTAGGGACCAATGCAGTAACTGAGGCTGCATCCAGGCAGAGGAATTAAAATATGTTGTTCAGCTTTGCCATCTTTTCCACCTGAACTGATTTTTATTTTATTTACTTGGGGGGGAGGTAGAAAATGACATCTGATCTCCCCATAAAATATAGTCAGTGTGACAGGTAATTAAAAGCTGTGTTCTAGAGGCACATTTTGACTTAGCTTTTTTTTAAAAAGCAATTATAAATGGCATAGTTCTGCAGCTGGCATAAATTAAACTCTTTTTTGAAAAAATAATTGGAATCTGGTTTAAAGTACAGTTATACCCAAGGTGAATCTGGGGTAACATATGGAGGGAAAAATGTGCCTCAATATGAAAGGAAGGAAGGAAGGAAGGAAGGAAGGAAGGAAGGAAGGAAGGAAGGAAGGAAGGAAGGAAGGAAGGAAGGAAGGAAGGAAGGAAGGAAGGAAGGAAAGGTTTGTCCTTTTAAATTAGATAATTACAAATTTAACACTTGCCATATTTCTCTGATCTGTTCACAATCTTGTTTTGCAATATGGCATTGTTGTCACATTTAGAAGCCTGCGTTTTCCCCCAAGTCTCAGAGCAGCTTGCTAGCTGCAAAGTCAATTTATTAGAATAAAACACAGTCGAGCAGGCTTCACTAGAAGTCTCAGCAATTGTTTTCTTAGGCTGCATTATGCCTTTTCCTTCTTGCCTATTGACTTCATGTACTGGAATAAAGAATATAATTCCACATGCTGAAATTTGTCATATGCACAATTTGGGATATACAGTAAGTTGCTAATTTGCAGGCAAGCTACAGAACCATAGGAAGGCCTTTTAAAAAACAAACTACTTTGCAAAATATAAAATAGCAATACAGAAAGTAACTTTGCCAACTGACCACTTTGGCAAGAATAACTAGAAACTGCTGCTTAAATTTAACCTTCCACAAAGGAGATCATACTCAATCCCCAAGTAAGCTGCAAATGTCTTCATAGATTCCCAAGACTGGCAATTATGAACAGAGCAGCACATGGAACCAATAGAGGATAGAACAAATTTAGTTTGCGGAAACAATCTTTCACTTAAATTGGAGGTGTCTTTTGTTTTAGTCAATTCTTTCTTGTACATCTTTCTTCCTTTGCCTCCTGCAAGACATCTAGATTGGAAAAAGATTATTTGGGGCTGTTTGATAAAGAGAACAATTTCAGAAAGAGGATCACATTAAAGACTGCTGTCTTAAAACTCCCAGCATTTTTGTTTCATATTAGACTCTCTAAAATATGCCATCTACCAATGTTTTGGGATTTAGTTTGGGAAACAAGTAATTCTTCATGTACATCTGTACAGCCAGATGGAAGCCATTTTGGACTGAAGCTGTAATGCCAAGCTATAAAAACAGAATACCATTTCAAGAGATTGGATCTAATGTAGCTTTATTCGTTCATAAAGCAAGAAAACCTGCCACCTCAGCATGTATTCCTAATTCTACTAATATATGATCTAATATGATAATTGCAAAATATGATTTCATTACTAAATCTGCTGCCAGGAAACCCACAATAGAATTAATTAGTTCCATTTTGTTGGCATCTGTTTCATATATATATTATGTTTCTGTATTTTTAAAAAGCAGCAACCATGTTTTGTTGTAAAAGACTGCACAATTCTCAGAACTGTCATTGGGAGAGTAACAGATATCAGTAACTCAGCTACACAGTTTAACATAGCTAATGCATTTGTATCCATTGAACAAATCCATAGGCTAATGCATTTGTACTTTATTTTAAAAATAAAAATCTTAGGACACACAGCATTTACCTAACTTTGAAGAGAAGCAATATTCAGATAAGTTTTGTTATCAATGGAGTTGTCAAAAGGCACTTTGGTGTCACCACGATTTCTATTTCCTTATCCCTCCAAAGCAATTTTTAAATGATTGCTGAACATCTTCACTTACGATAACTCATAGCTTGAAGCTTTGATTGCACCTTAACCCTTGCCAGAAAAAGAGGGGACTACAATATGGAGGAGATGTGAAGCTCTTCAGACAACTGAAACAGGAGCTAGGAGGAGGGGTGAAGCAAGAGTTTCTTCCAACAGGGGAATGGATCACATCCAACTTTGCCCAGTGTTTCCAGCTGAAACTCATTTTTAGGGCAGTTCGTCTTCCACCATAGCTGAGCCAGAAGAAAATCAGCTCATTTTGGAA